ATGGGTACCCTGATTTCTAAAATCAAGATGTAATCTCAGCTAATATGAAACAGTTCCTAAAAAAATTGTTTAAACTTATAAAACAGAGTCTCTGAAATCGCAAAGATGAGGATCAAAGTACCCGGGGTGACCTTCTCAAGATGAACAAATCCCTAAGGTTCAGTCTAAAATAATACTTTACTTTTGCCTCACTGGTACACTCTCATGTAATGAATAATTAGTTACTAAATATCTATTATAGGACAGGCATGACAGTAGGCATTATCCTAAAGTAAGAGACAAAAGAAAAGTTGAACTAATATTCCTAATAAATAAAAATAAATACAAATTGAGCATCTAGATCAAGTATAGATGTTAGGCACTGTGGTAGGTGTATTCCATTTCCAGCCCCACTTGATATACTTCCAAATATAGACAATTTTTTTCCATTTTTCAATTGAAGTACAGTTGACACACAATGTTACATTAATTTCAGGTCCGCAACATAATGATCTGACAACTCTCTACCTTATCCTGTACTCAGCCCAAGTGTAGTTACCATCTGTCACCACACAACACTGTTAACTACCATTGACCATTTTCCCTATGCTGTACCCTTCATTCCTATGACTCATTCATTCCATAACTAGAACTAGAACCACTATTATGCTTACTTCTCGGGGCATAAAATTGGGACCTAAAGATAATTATTTATATCACAGATGCTACAAAATTGATAGTTAGAAAAACTTAATTGTCCCAAATCCAATTTTCTCTTTATTACACCTCTGCTACTATTGATAACAATGTTTAAGATTATTGAAACAATTAAAATATACATAATAAGGCATTTACAATTTTCAGTATAACCACACCTAGAATCCAAAATAATATGGACCGTCTTGTATATACTCATGTTTACAAAAGATTTGATCTGTACAATACATAGAATTCAAATATTTCTCCTCATTTATGGAGAATGTCCATTTATGACATGCCATTGCTAGTTTCTTCATACAGTGAATTCATAAGAGTTTTGAAAAAGAGAGGCAGTGTTTATTATTGAAAATAATTGAGAGTTCCTAAAGAATTTTGCAGCAAATCTTTTAGTAACATTACTCTATGTTACTTGTATTTTCATTATAGAAACAACTGCTTGAAAACTACTGCTTGGATTTCAGATGTAATTTTGTGTTGAGCAAATTTTTGTATTCCAAGACATCTAGTTGAATTAAACTCACTGGAGATCCTTAGCTTTGGTAACAAAGCTTTGAATCTTCATAGGCTGAGAGTAATCAAGTCCCTGGTGACTCCCAGAAACCTCATTAAGTAGAGTGAGACGATCCTCAATTGAAGATCATTGGAATTTATTTTCTTTACTGCTGATACTCCAGGTAGTCCAGGCAACAGGTAATTCAATACAGTATGCTTTATTCAAATTGACTTCTACCCTTCAGAATAATGCAGAAATCAATCAGCGTTAGTTGCCTTTTCAATGACTGAACCATTTATCCAGCCTTGTCAAGATTATGTAAATGCAGTCACTTGGCATCACATTCTCATTGTTTTCTCTGTCCTAGCAAGCAACATATAGACTGAACCACTTCTAAACACTAATAAATCCACCTTTGCCATTTAGCCATCTAGGAATTAGGTTATAACATGTATAGCTACAACATGCCTGGGTAGTTGAATCTGTGTATTTCTTTAAAACTCCAAACTGAACAGTAATCCTTAGAAAGGAGCTCAAATGAACACACTTGAGAGAATTGAGGTTTTAAAAAATATATTTCCTTACTGTAAATTGCAATATGCAATACAGTGCCTAAGAGCACAAGTCAAAGATCTACCCTCAGATTCTAGCTCTAGGATCCACTAGGCTTGTGACCCTGAACAGATAATCAAGCATCTCAGCTCCCTCACCCATCTTCACAGGGCAAGAAGAGTGCCTCTCAGGGCCTTCTTTTAGAATACCAAAACAAACAAACAAACAAACAAACAAACAAAAACCTATGTAAAGGGATTAGCATAGGGTCTGGCATAAGTGCTTAAGTGTCTAATAATATTTTTATTTATTATTTTTGTCATTTTTTTATCTACAAAATTCATTTAAGAAAATAATTCTTATGTAATACTCCCTAATACTATATTAGAAGATGCTTACTAATTTCAATTAAAAGATGGCAAACATCTTTTTCTCCTAATTGATCATGTGAAGTTTGGTCTTTTTTTGATATTCTATTCATAATGCTATGTTGAATTTTCCTCCCAAAATATGAGGGCAATACAAGCAACAAGCCAAGTAATGCCAATATATAAAGAAAAGTCAGCAATCATCTCCTTTCCCAGAGGTAACTGCTATCAATACACTAGTTTATATCCTTCCATCCTTTTCTCTATGCTTACAAAAACAGACAATATGAAGACTCATGTATATATCAATAGTCTAGTATATGACTCTCTATATATTTCTTTGTGCTATTATAAACAGATAGATGTGTGTCTGTATATGTGTGTGTCTGTGTGTCTGTGTATCTGTGTATCTCTATTTCCTAATTGGTACAAAAATGGAATTATGCTCATCACAATAAGCTAAAACTTTTATTTTTTACTTGACAGAAATACATGAATATTTTGCAGGTCAAAAGTTATAGCCTTAACTCATCCTTTCTAATAATTGCGTAATAGTCCATAGCATGAATACAGCATCATTTATCCAAGTATGCTTCTATTGAAGGATATTCTGATTGTTTTGCATTTTTTAATTTTGTCCCTACAATTCATGTAGCAGTAAACATCCTTGCTCAAATGTCCTGACATTCTGGTGTTTTGATTGTAGTATGATAGCTTCTAAAAAGGGAGATTTAGCGTTTATTATGTCCCAAGCATCATTCTAAATGCTTTACATTTATTATCTCATTTAAGCTTGACACAACTTGATGAGCTATTATTATGACTCGTATTTTGAGTATCATGAAATTGAGGTAAATAAATTGCCCAAGGTCACCAGCAAGCGAGTGGTGGATAAGTGATTTCAACCCAGGCAGTCTGGTTTGCAAATCCTCACTCTTAACACAACCCTTATAGAGAAAATTGTTATATTACTTTCTCCAGAGGCTGTTGCTACATATAGTTCTTTCATGATAGTTTCTCTAAACCATTCTGAGCTTTTCCCTGTACACCATAAAATGTCTTATCCAACGACCAGAATCAACAACTAGCAGTGTGCTTCCTCAGGTGCACAAATTCTATCTTATTCGTTTCCAAACACATCTGAGAGTGTTTCCTATAATCTGAAAGCCTTTTACAATACAGACTCTGGTTACATCAGGGACTGTCTCTTTAGACTCTGGTTAGCATTTAGGGTCAAGAAATAAATACATATTCCTAATGAATGGGATGCAGAATATTGCAGCCATATCTGCTAACAACTTCAGAGAAGCAGACATTAGGATTTTTTCATTCATAGTTTATGTTGTTAAAATTCTTACTTAAAATGTCTCCAGTCCTGTAATTTCCACAGAAAGAAGTAATGCTTCCTCTTCCTCTCAAAACCAAAATCCCAAAAATGGATTACAATCATAATTACAACTAATACAATTACAGTGGCATACTACTGTTGTTATGTTTCCTATTAATTTTATTTACTTTTCTCAAAAGTGTTTCAATATGCAATAGAGTCTTGGGGACTTGAACAAAAGGTGTGGTTTTTACTAATCAAGTAAATGAACCATATTAAACTCAGCAATCTGGAACTGCTTTTCTTTGGAGGAGTGTAACTTAAGGGAATTATATTGCACTTTGGCTCCTATGGTAAAAAGGGAATTTTAAAAAGTGCTAAACATTGTGCTATGATCAGCATCATATTTTAGGTAAGAAACAGTGACAAAATGGGATGATTCTAGAATCCTGTGAAAAAATATATTGCAGTTCCCAGGGAGTGTGTGGGGTATGGTTTGGCAAAGAAAAAGCTAGGGTTTACACCTCGGGAAACGCAACTGGAGGTCCTCCAACATTAAGGAGCCTAACGCTGATAAGAAATAGTTTGCCGCTTCAGAAACACTACTGGTCTAGCAAATTCCACGGTTGACCGAAGGTCCAGTTGGCACTATTGCCCCTCTGGTAGCAACTTGGCATTATGCAAGGGTGTTTCTGCGAAAACAGACTGAAATGATTTGGGCTGAAAACCTTTTGCCTTGAGCAAAAACCATACCAGCTGGAAAACGAAGTGCTTAAGAAACAACAGAAAAGAGCTGAGCTGGAGGAGAGGGCTCTGCTGGAATTACTCCGCTGCCATAGAAATTGCCAGCATGTACAATTGTCTCTGTGTTTGTGGGAGTTGGAAACTTTGGACGCCAACTTCATGGCTGGAATAAAATCACATTAGTGAATAAGGCTTGGGCCAAGAGTGAAGAGTGGTCGGAAATAGCTAATGTTTGTAAATTCTGAGCTAAGACTGTTACAATTGGGACATGTTAACGTATTCTGCATTAACTCCTTTCACACACACACACCCTGCTCCCGCGAGGTCGGTAGGAACGGAGAGTGTGATCGGATCTATTTTCTAGTTGGAGGAAACACGCTCAGAGAAGGTGTTGTCACTTGTCCAGGGGCACACACATCTAGTAGTGCCCTAGCTGGCTTTAAGGCCTCCTATTTCGTTGGCTTGCCAGCCTACCCTGCTTCTAAGGATGTGAAGGGAATAATGTCAGAGCTAGATTATGGAATCCGGCAAATTCTTCTCTCCTAAACCCTCTGATTGCTTAGAACTGCACAGCAGATGAGACAGACTGCGGAGTTGGGCCCACCGTGATGATGGGTAACTCGGGAGCGGCAGGATGGGGATGGGAGAAGCTGAGGTGACTGGGGCCACCGGACGGGCCTGGGGCGCTGCCTGGCCCCGCAGGCGCCTGGACTGCACAGGGGCTCACGCCTTCTGCCACCTTCCATCCGCACACCGCGCTCCGGAGCTCTGCGCCCCGCTCGTCCCTAGCCCGCTCTCCCCGGGCTGTGTCACTCACTCACGGTCTGGGACACCTTCACCTCCTGGTTGAGCCACTGGCACAGAATCTCCGACATGGTTCGGCCTGCGCCTTCTACCGTAAGCCGGTGTAGGAACGCGCGGGAAAGCCAGCCAAGGGCCCCGCGTCCTCCTGTTGCCAAAGGCAACCCGTTGCTAAGGAAGCGTATCCAGGCCTGAGCCTGGGGCAAGAGCGACGCCAGTGTCCCGTCGCGGAGGACGGAGAACCGTGGCCTGCCCCCTGCCGGCGGGTGAGCCGGGACGGAACGCAGGCGCCGGGACTCCGCGGTGGTGGTGGAGGCGAGCACCTGGAAGAGGGCCTAGAAAAGCAGGAGTCTTGCTTGAAGGGCAATTCTTTTTCTTCCCCTTTGTCTTTTAAGGAAATCTACAGAAAATCGTCTCTAATGACAGCTGTTTTGTCACTGATTTACAAATTGCCAGTTCCAAATGCTGTATTGTGTGTCTACCCTGGCGAGAACAGATAGTCCCGGACCCGGTATAGGGCCTGACACCTAGAAAACATATGATCATTTTTGTTGTTAGTGGTGGCGGCACTAACAGTTAGGGGGATCCCTATCTCTGCGGTGTTTTGAGAGGTGAATATGTAATGAACTTATTTGCTGGTCATTTTTTCCTTCCAGGTAATAATTTTACAGTGTATTTGGCAAACATTCTCACCTTGAGCAAACCCGAGTCAGGCTCCTTCGGGAATCTTCTGGAGGCTCATAATTTGAGCTGTGTCCTTAGCCCCCTAGTCCAGTTTTAGCAAGAATCCTGCTCTTCTGGGTCTGTTTAAGGAAAACCCCAGCCCTTTCCATATCGATCAAATTGTACATCCCTCACCCTTGATATCTGCTCCCCCGGCCTGCCTTCAGCAAGGATTCTTCAAGTTAGTTTAGCCAAAATCCTCTTGACCTTGATGTTTCGTCTTAGAAATTTTCTATCCACTGGCCCCACCCCTGCTCCTTGGCTATAAATCCACACTTTTCCTTGTTGTGTTCAGAATGGAGCCCCAACTCACTCCCCTGGTGTACAACCCTCTTGCAATGGTCCCTTGAATAAAGTCTTCCTTACTGTCTTTAACAAGTGTCAGAAAAATTTTCCATTACTAATTTCTTAAAGGTTAGGTGGAGTTATAGGAAAAATTATATGCATTTGTATTATGTATACTTGTGTATGATAAATAATATGGAACAGTGTGTTTATGTATGTCACAAATACAAAGAATTTCCCCTCAAAGACCTGGATACATCAAATTATGATTCTTTTAAACTATATTTACAATAACAGTGACATCCTACTAGAATAAATGTCTCTTAAGATTAATCTGAAATTGCTCAATATGTCCTGATTGGCTAAAAGTTGGGTACCATTTCACTTCACTTAACTTTAAATTCTCCCATCCCATGAGTTTCCTCACACCCAACACAGCAGACATGGCTGCAATGGAACAATGGAAATTCTGAGGGAGATTTATTACTAACAAAACTGGGGCCTGATACACTTGATATGTCTCACCTTAGAGTTGTCCAAATTTGGAAGATCAAATGATTCTAAAAGCCTCTACAGCAAGAGGAATATATCTAATAAAACTTTATCCATTGGAAACATGTCATCCCTGAAAAGATTTCTAATGGTGCATATGTGCCTAGAAATCACTGCTGAGGCACTTGTGTTTTATGTCATCTTGGTAGTAAATTTATTTATTTAAGAGAGAGCGCATATAAGGGGGAGGGTATCAGTAGGGGCAGAGAGAGAGAGAGAGAGAGAGAATCTTAAGCAGACCCCATGCCCAGCGTGGAGCTCAACACAGGGCTCGATCTCACGACCCTGAGATCATGACCTGAGCTAAAATCAAAAGTCAGACACTTAACCAATGGGCGACCGGGGTGTCCCATTTAAACTGATGACTAATACTACATTTAGTAAGAGGTTTCAAGGTTTAATTTCAGTCCGTGGGACCCAAAAGATAGAAACCAATGTCTTCTGGATTGCTGAGAAAATTTCTTTTGAGGGTTTATCAAACTCCACAGCGGCACCAGAAGAGAATGCCTGAGCCGGTACGCCATCTACAGACAGGGGCTTATCTCCATATCAGAGCAAAATATCTCTGTGCCTGTCCATAGGAACTGTTCAGTTGTTTGTTCCCTTCAAAGGGTTATTTATAGTGTTTGTCTTTGGAACCCAGAACCAAACAACTCAAACTGCCCCTTTGATATTTGTGAAAACAAGTTTAGGCACAGGAGTTAGATACATAAAGACACTTACAAAGCAAAAGGTGAAATTCTTCATTTCACAAAAAGAGCATATTTTCCTCAGTGCCTAAAACATCCAACTTGAAAACATTCTGACGTTAAAATATTAGTGAAAAATTGTACTCTCATTTAAATGTTTGTCTTTTACTATTCTTTTTTTTTTCTTGAAATTGATACTATGGTTATTAGTCCAAGTTTAACATTTAATCTTTTCCATTCCATTGGAATTCAAGCTCAGGGCAAAATTTCTATCACCTCTCGTGTTGGCATTTTGTGTTAATATGGTAAATAATATGTTTGTCCCCACATGCAATTGGTTGGGGGAGGGAATGATTAAAGACATGAACAGTTTCCCATCTGTTCCTGAGATGGCTTCCCCACTGTTTTTTAATTAAAGTTTTTAGAATATTTGTCTCCTGCATCCAATTGTAAGCATCACAGCAATCTTAAAATTAAATAAAAATTATTTTTAAAGCATTACCTGTCATTTAATTATAAATCTTTATTTCTCCTCTGTATAGTCAAGGGCAGATTATAAAAAGTTGTTTTGAGCCCACTGGTTGGTTTGAAAAGTGATGCCGTGTAGTGTGTACTGTGTACTGTGTATTTATTCTCTCAGAAAACAATTGTAACATTTTACATAATTGGAATATACCAATAAAATACAAGCTTTAGAATCAGACACACCAGGGTCCAGGTATCTGGTTTTGTTCTGACTAGCTTTTCAGCTTTGGAAAAAAGCTAAACTTCTCTGAGCCTCAGTTTCCTTATTTGTAGGATAAAGACATCAACATTTGGTTGACAGGGTTGGGAAGACGAAGCAAGCAACTGCATATATTAATGCCTGGCTCTTGGTAGATGCTACACAAATGTTTCTTTCCTCTGCTCGTGAGGTAGAATGAATTTTTCCATTGCATTACTGGTTAGCTTAGTTTTGAGTAGCTTAGATTTGCTTATAAGACTTCAAATAGTTTTTGAGACAATTATTTCATATAGCTTCTTTGATTTTATTTATGACTAATTCAATATTTATACATACATAAATACATATACATTGACAGATTTTTAAAAAGTCTTATTTGGTCCTCCATGAACATCTTGCATCCATTTCTTCATTTCCCCTCTCATCACTCTTAGATCATTCTTTAATTCCCTCTCAACACGTTTTGCAATGGCTTTACTCTCTTTACATTCATTAATTCAACAAATCTTTTTCCCAGTGGCAACAACCACTCAAGCTACATTCCCTGTCTCCTCCCCTCTAGTTACCTTGTGCAAACAGTCCAGTCCATTTTCCTGAATCCCTGCTCTATTCCTCAGCTCACACACATTCGTGAATTTCACCAGAGTCTTGTGTACCAACTGTGGGTCTTGATCTCTTAACAGGATTTATATGTAATTCCATTGGTGGGCCATGCCAGAATTCCTTATAAATGAAATATGAAGTTTAAAATGGGATAGAAAATATCAGAGCGGAGAGTGGCTGGCTCAGTCTATTAAGTGTCCCACTTTTGATTTTGGCTCAGGTCATGATCTCGGGGTCCTGGAATGGAGCCTCTCCTCAGGCTCCATGCTCAGTGGGGAGCTGGCCTGGGGGTTCTCTCCCCTTGCTCATTCTCTCTCTCTCTTTCTCTCAAATAAATACATGAATCTTAATATATATATGATATGATATGTGATATATATCTATATGATCATGTGATATATATATCTTAATATATATAATCTTAATATATATGATATATGTAATATATATAATCATATGGTATATACGAATATATATTATATATCTTAATATATAATCTAAATATATATATGATCATATGATATAGGATATATATAGGAGAGAGATATATATATATATATATATATATATATATGATATATATATATATCTCAGAGAGCATTGATAGGAAAGGTAAGTATGTGGGGTTCTTTTAGGAAACATTTTTGGAGCCACTATCCAGGAGGGTGAAGAGCCAATGCAGCTTTAACTGTGAGCCACAAATTAGTTTTGCACAACTTGCCCCCATTTCTTTATCAGGTCCCAACTTTATTACCACTACATCCTTTCTTTGCAAAAAAAAAAAAAAAACAAAAAAAAAAACTTTTTTTTTTTAAAGATTTTATTTATTTATTTGACAGACAGAGATCACAGTAGGCAGAGAGGCAGAGAGAGAGGAAGGAAGCAGGCTCCCTGCTGAGCAGAGAGCCCGATGCAGGGCTTGATCCCAGGACCGTGGAATCATGACCTGAGCTGAAAGTAGAGGCCTTAACCCACTGAGCCACCCAGGCGCCCTGCAAAAAAAAAAAAACAAAAAAAAAAAAAAAAAACTTTTTATTAAAAAAAAATTGTCTACTTCCTGTCTCAGCCAATCCTACCTGTCCTTCAGGGTCCAGCACATCAGTCACCAACTTCCGCAAACCTCCTATTCCCGCCATCTTTCCACCTTCTTCTCCCTTCTGAAAGCTCAAAATCTCTAGTTTCCTTTTAACTCTTGTTCCAGATGCCTGACCCTTAGCAACCACCTGCAGCTTTGCTAGCAACCCAATTTGGGAAACGTCCAACATCTTCCTCAACATGTTTCCAAATGAGTGTTGATTTAGGCTCTTCCATCTCTCTCTTTTTTAAAATTTCTTTTCAGTGTACCAGAATTCATTGTTTATGCACCACACCCAGTGCTCCATGCAATAGGTGCCCTCCATAATACCCACCACCAGGCTCACCCGACTTCCCACCCCCTCCGCTCCTTCAAAACCCTCAGACTGTTTTCCAGAGTCCATAGTTTCTCATGGTTCATCTTCCCCTCCATTTTCCCTCAACTGCCTACTCCTCTCCATTTCCCCATATCCTCCGTGTTATTTCTT